TGATCAGTCATTATTGATTATTGATCAGTCATTATTGATCAGTGATTATTGATCAGTGATTATTGATTATTGATCAGTGATTATTGATTATTGATCAGTCATTATTGATCAGTGATTATTGATCAGTGATTATTGATTGATGTTTCAGGTGAAGAAGGCCTTCTTTGCTTTGGTGTCAAATGGTGTTCGAGCTGCACCGCTGTGGGAGAGCAAGAAGCAAGGCTTTGTGGGTAAGAGTGTGCACGTGCTGTGATGCTTCATGGAGCTGTTGATCAGGGTCACCTTCAAAATAAAAGCTCCATGTTGTTTATGATCATAAAACTCCTGGTCCAGTCCTCAGACCTCTGCAGGTTCTCTGAATGTTTCAGAGACGAGGACTGAAACTGAACAAAAAGAAGCCAAAACCTGTCAAAGATCTTCAGACTGAGCTGAACCCAGCTTCATGTCGTTGGAGATGCTCCTCCTCACTCAGGACCTGTTTCTCCTCACCCAGTGAGGTCCTGCTCTAGTTTCAGACCCCAAGACTCAGCAGGACCAGAGACCCCCCTCACCTGCTGCCTGGCTTCCATGGTACATGTCCTTGATGGTCCTAGTCCCAGGTGGAAGTGAACTTCTTCCCCAGCAGCCACAGTGGCTGGTAGAAAGCTTTGTACTGGACACTATGGTTTTGTTTCTGTAACACGGTGACATTTACACCATTCATGGTCCTGGGTGGTTCAATTAAACAGTTTACAATCAGATAATGGCTCAAAATCTGTTAGTGACTGTTCCAGTCAGCCTGTTAGACACAATTAAAATGATGGACTTTATCACATCTTTGTCTTACTAACTTGCTTTTTGCTGGTGTGTAGGTGGGCTACCAGTTATTTTAGGTGGGCTACCAGTTATTTTAGGTGGGCTACCAGTTATTTTAGGTGGGCTACCAGTTATTTTAGGTGGGCTACCATTTATTTTAGTTGGGCTACCAGTTATTTTAGATGGGCTACCAGTTATGTTAGATGGGCTACCAGTTATTTTAGGTGGGCTACCAGTTATTTTAG